CTCCTCTTTCTGTAAATGATGTTGGACAAAATAGATTCTGTTCCATACAACTTAAGAAACACTAGAGTAAGTTTTATGTTTATAAGAAAAAAAACCCCAATACATTTGGAATACTCAGTTGGGCTCTTTTTCTCAGGGTTAGTGCTCTACTACTTTGAGCCACAGTTCCACTTCTGGTTTTTGAGTGGTTAACTGGAGTTAAGAGTCTCACAGGAACTTTTCTGCCCTGAATGGCTTCAAACCTCAGTTCTCAGCCTCCTGAAGGTCACAAGTGTGAACCACCCAGGCTTATACAGAATTTATTATGGTAGTAATTTCATTTCACAAATGTTCACAACTTTGAGAGAATGAAGACTCTCTAAAGTTGAAAAAGAAGGAAGAAAGAGAAAAGAACAACAAAAACCCGTGCTTTTAGCGGAACAAGCATGGTAATGTTTTAAATACCGAAAAAGATTATAGATTTATAATGTGTTAAATGAAAAGAATATGTATAAATTATATATGCATTCAAACAGTAGATCTAAATCAGAATTTTACCAGTAATTAACTTCAAGGAGTGAGATTATTGATCACTAAGCTTGTCATTTTTATGTTTCTGTTGGACTTTCAAATTATATATGTATACTTTTTTTTGGGTCCAGTCGTAGGGCCTGAACTCTGGGCCTGGGCACTGTCCCTCAGCTCTTCAGCTCAAGGCTAGAGCTCTACCACTTGAGCCATAGCGCCACTTCCAGCTTTTTTCATTTTGCTTAGGTGGTGCTGATGAATCGAACCCAGGGCCTCCTGCATGCAAGGCAAGTGTTCTACCACTGAGCCATCTTCCCAGCCCCTCAAATTATAATTTTCATATCTAAAAATTAAACATTTTTAAAACAAGTTTTAAGGGCTGGGTTATATCTCAGTGGCAAAGTGCTTGCCTAGCAAGTGCAGCATCCTGGGGTTGATCTGCAGTACCAAAAAAGAAAAAGACAAAAAAATAAAAATAAAAATAAAAACCTTTTTTTTTTTGCTGGTCCGGGGACTTGACTCAGGACTTGGGCACTGTCCCTGAGCCTCTCTGTGTTCAAGGCTAGCACTCTACCACTTAAGCCACAGCGCCACTTCCAGCTTTTTCTGTTTATGTGGTACAGAGAAATCGAACCCATGGCTTCATGCATGCTAGGCAAGCACTCTACCATTAAGCCAAAAAACTTTTTTTTTTTGGTCATAGGTCCTGAACTATGGGCCTGGGCACTGTCCCTCAGCTCTTCAGCTCAAGGCTAGCATTCTACCACTAGAGCCACAGTATCACTTCCAGCTTTTTCTGCTTATGTGGTGCTGAGGAATCAAACCCAGGGTCTCATGCATGCAAGGCAAACACTCTACCACTGAACCACCTTTCCAGCCCCCTCAAAAAACTTTTAAAACAAAGAAAACAAATACATATTGATATCAAATCAATAAGCAAGACAGAATCCACATATTAAAAAAAAAAAGAACTGCACATTCCCAGACCAAAGAAATAGGATAGCTGGGCCAAATAAATATGCATGTGAGTTCTTTATATTTCCCAAATACACACAGAAAATTACTCTTGCTAATTTTACTAGCATCAAGTATAGAAGAGCCCTTTTAAGTGCTCATGTTCTTAATAATAAATTTTGAGCTATCAAAAATAATGTGGAGCCAGGTACCGGTGGCTCATGCCTGTAATCCTAGTTACTCAGGAAGCTGAAATCTGAGGATCGCAGTTCAAATCCAGCCCAGGCAGGAATATCCGTGAGACTCTTATCTTCAATTAAGTACCAGAAAACTGGAAGTGGTGGTGTGGCTCAAGTGGTAGAGCACTCACCTTGAGTTGAATTGCTCAGGGACAACGTCCAGGCCCAGAGTTCAAGCGCCATGACCGATAATAAATAAATAAATAACTGTGAATCATGCTGACACACTCCAGTAATCCCAGCACACAAGAGTATGAGGCAGGAAGACTGAGTTAAAGGACAGCTTGGGATATGAAGTTAAGACTTCGTCTCAAAAATAAAAAAAGAAATACATAAACTAAAAGAAATAATACATGTCAAAATCAATGAAGAAATAGTTTTAGCTCTAAAGCTACAAAAGTCAAATTACTCACTTTCACATCAATTACAAAACTATTGCATGGTTATGTATGAGTCCTGCAAGAATCATGCTCCAAGCCATCAGTGACACTGAGACTAAGGAAATTTCCGTACTAAATACAAGGAGCCAAGAATAACAACAATAAATAGATACATTTCAATGGTGCTGGGGAATGAATCTAGAGCATTGCACATGCTAAAGACTAGCTACACTACCCAGCCTTGCAGTATCCTTAAATTTAAAAAAATTCTCTAGAAAATAACTTCTTTGTTTTATGTAACTATGGACAAAACATGCTCACTTAGCTGATTCCTCTGTGTTCTCTTTTCCTTGATTCTGGTTACCATGAACAGCTTCACTGACAATTGTGCCAACATTCTGAGTGGCTCAGTGGCTCTGCTTTAGCCATATGATCACAGCTTAATTAGATCTCATTTGTTTTAAAATTCACTACAGTGTACATCATCTCATCTGATCTCACTGACACCTGGCTTACCTGCTAAAAGTCTAACCTTCCACTGTCCTTTCCAGTCCATTCACTGACCCTAGGTTACAAAGGAGAATGCTCTATAAACACAATCAAAGAAAAGTAGATGGAAAGAGATAAATTTAACTAAGAATACATTCTTAAGGTTTTTGCTTTAAGTAACTCTACAAATTAAGTCTTTCTTGAAAATAAAGACTGCATCTATGTTAACTAGTCGTAATAAGGTCTACAATGTTACTTAACTATAAATAGCATATAAAATAATTCAGTAACTAGGATATGTGTGTGTGTGTGTATGTGTGTGTGTGTGTGTGTGTGTGTGTGTGTGAGAGAGAGAGAGAGAGAGAGAGAGAGACAGACAGACAGACAGACAGACAGACAGAGACAGAGAGAAACAAAGATACTAGGGACCAAGGCCAGGGCAGCTGTACTTACCTATAGAGCCATATCCCATCTCCATATTCTTTACTCTAAAATTATAAATGGAATTCAGCAGTGTTATAGGTAATAATCTTGCAAATAATTACCATTTTTCTTCCTTTTTCTCCATCTGTACTTAGCATTTTTGCCTAAAATCAAGTATTAAGGAAAAAAAATAAGGAATTCTTCATGAAGTGTACCCAAAAAATAAACTAAATTTGATTATCAACAAGGTATTATGTATAAAACTTACTAGTGCTAGGGGGCTGGGAAGGTGGCTCAGTGGTAGAGTGCTTGTCTTGCATGCATGAGGCCCTGGGTTCGATTCCTCAGGACCACATAAGCAGCAAAAGCCAGAAGTGGTGCTGTGGCTCAAGTGGTAGAGTGCTAGCCTTGAGCTGAAGAGCTGAAGGACAGTGCCCAGGCGCAGAGTTCAGGCCCCACAACCAACCAACAACAACAAAAACAACAAAAAACAAAAAAACTTACTAGTGCTAATGCTATTTTGAAAGATAACTGAAATTCTTCCCAAATAAGTCTAACATTTCTTTGCTTACTAATGAGACTGAGTACTTTCCTAAAAGTTTATCAGGTACTTCCTCCTGTAAAAATCGTTAATTCACATCTATAATTCTAGCTACTTGGGAGGCAGAGATCAGGAGAATCAATATTTGAAGCCAGTCAGGCAAAAAATTCCAAAGATTGCATCTTAACCAATAAATAGCTAGGACATGGTTATGTCAATGTCATTCCAGCTTTGAGAAAGCAAAAATAGGAGAATCATAGTCTAGACCAGCCCAGGCAAAAATCAAGACCCTATTAAAAATTTTTTTTAAAGGCTGGGGACTGGGTAGAAGGCTGGACTCAATGGATAGAATATCTGCCTAGCATGACTTTACATTCAACCCCCTCCCAAATAAACACAATAAAACCCAACTTCAGATCTTTTGTCCATTCATCCATTATATACTTTTCTTAACAATTGGTTTTGTTTATTGTTTTTATGGTAGTAGGGATCAAAACTAGGGATTCAGAGATGTTATAGAGATAAATGTTCTTCCACTGAGTCTTGTCACTAGCCCCTTACTAATTCTTTTGTGAGTAATGGGGCTTGAACTCAGGGTCTGGGCACTGTCCTTGAGTTCTTATGCTCAAGGCTAGTGGTCTAGCCCTTTTAGCCACAGAGCCACTTCTGGTTTCTGGTGGTTAATCAGAGGTAAGAGTCTCATGGACTTTCCTGCCCAGGCTGAGTTTGAACTTAGATCCTCAGATCTCAGTCTCCTGAGTAGCTAGGATTACAAGCATGGGCTCACACCTGTGTAATATGGTTATTTTCTTGCTGTCAAATTTTGCTAATTTTACATTCATCTTTATTCCTCCTTTCCCCCACTTAGGTTGTTGTTTCTGTTTAGTGCTTTCTTCTTTTGTACCTATCAGTACTTCAGTCATCAGTCAGTTGTAAATATTGGAATTCTAGTTCCATAAATGAAGATTACTGGAATAAAAAAGAGTACTGCAAGATTTCTACCAAAAAAGGAAAGTCTCAGTCTCAGGTTGTCACAGAAGAGGGATGTATTATTCAGAAACAAATGTATTCTTTTCTTTTTTTTTAATTCCAGTCGTGGGGCCTGAACTCTGGGCCTGGGCGCTGTCCCTCAGCTCTTCAGCTCAAGGCTAGCGCTCTACCACTTGAGCCACAGTGCCACTTCCGGCTTTTCTCTTTTTGCTTATGTGGTGCTGAGGAATCGAACCCAGGGCCTCGAGCATGCAAGGCAAGTGCTCTACCACTGAGCCACCTTCCCAGCCCACAAATGTATTATTTTCCAAAGGACTCAGAACTGTTTAAATGAAGCTTGTATAAGCCATTAAGTGAAAACTATGAAGAGTCCAAATGTTTGCAAATCCAGGGTAGATATCCAAAGAATTATTCAGCATTGATAAAATAATGGAAGCATAAACAACCAAAAATTAAAAAACAATCCAAGAAACAAAAGGAAGTACAAAAAGGAGCATACGTTTTTATTCTATAAATATTTGAAGCATATGATTTCCCAATTTGAAAAAATCCACTTTTTCTATTCAACAATGTTTAGAGATTGAGCTAAGAAGATAAAAATGGCTTAGAAAAATGATAGAAATTAAAAGTAGAAATTAGAGCTGAAATGATCAGTCTATTAGTAGAGCAAGTATAAACATATATCATGTATTAAGAAAACCTGATGTGTAAAAATACAAATTTACAGAGTGAAGTAGTAATAGGTGCTTATGAAATACTTGTTTTATCTGAGTATTCAATGTATATTCTAAACAGCCATTTTCCTTCACCTAATAAACAAAGATCGAAAAATGTACACAATTTTAGTTTCTCTTTGAGACAGTGATCCAAGCTTCTTCCCTGGGCGACGTGACAAGTTCATACTTTGTTTCTATAACTTGTCCCTCAACAGAATGTAAGTGCAGTTTCTTCACCAATACACTCAGAAGTACCGTGGTCACCATATATGCAAACCTAGTCAGGAAGTAAGTCAATTGGTTACTATACAGTAAACATTATATTCCTATTATATAGATTACATTATGTAACTACATTATATTCTTACTATAGATTACTCAATCTCATCAATTGTAATCTTTAAAATTCTAAGTAGAGTCTGGCGTCTTTTCCTTTCCCATTATTTCCTTGACCATTCACCTCAACTCTGGACATTCCTGTGTGCCTGAAAATCCAAGTGAGGAGAACATTTTCATCACTGAGTCATCTTCAAAGCGATCTGGATCAAATCTAAAAGGAAAATTTGGGGTTAATCACAATGTAACTTAAAACAATACAGGTCTGTCTGTAAGAAGGAATAAAATCTACCAAAAATAGAATGTGTCATCACATTTTATCTTATTATGTTCTCAAATAATTGAACATATGGATATTTAGTCACTTACTGCTTCCTAATCCATTGCTTCTAAATAAAAGCAAAATATACTCGTCAGTTTTAGTAAGGAATGTGACTGTAAAATATGTTTATAGTAAATCAAACAAAAATAATAATACATACTTAAATAAACTTAAGGTCTCTTTTATGGACCCATCAATCAATTTGTGAGGTATTTTCATTTCTTAATTAAAATTTACTTTTTAAATATGAAGGGTTAAGCCTTAAATTATATTTATCAATTATTGTATACTCAAATTTAGTAAGTGAGGGAAATGAAGAGGCTAATAAAAAGGACAGCTTTTAGTTTTAGAATTTCCCTTTTAGAATGGCATTAGTTTAAAATTTATTAAAAGGAAAATAAGCTAGGAGCTGGCAGCTCACACCTGTAATCCTAGCAACTCAGTAGGCTGAAATCTGAGGATTTTGCTTCAAAGCCAGCCCGGGCAGGAAAAGTCCATGAGACTCTTATCTCCAATAAACCACCAGAAAACCAGAAGTAGCACTGTGGCTCAAGTGGTAGAGTGCTCACCTTGAGCTGAAGAGTTGAGGGACAGCACCCAGGCTCAGAGTTCTAGCCCCAAGACTGACAAAAAAGAAAGAGAAAGAAAGGAAGGAAGGGAGGGAGGGAAGGAGGGAGGGAGGGAAGGAGGGAGGAGAGAGAGAGAGAGAGAGAGAGAGAGAGAGAGAGAGAGAGAGAGAAAGAAAGAAAGAAAGAAAGAAAGAAAGAAAGAAAGAAAGAAAGAAGCCAGATGAAGTGACTCATGCCTGTAATCCTAGCTATTCAGAATGCTGAAATGGAAGGATGGAAGTTCTAGGACAGCCTATATTAAAAGTTCCTGAAACTACCATCCCAAACAGCAATCTTCACAGCTCAGCCTCCTAAGTATCTAGAATTATAGGTGTGAGCCACCTTGTCCAGCTTTCTTTCTCCTTTCCCTCTCCCCTCCCTTCCCATCCCCCTTTCCCCTTTCCTTTCCTTTCTTTGGTAAATGAACTGGAGGTTTCAGGCAAAGCTCAAACCCCTTACTTCCATTGATCTTCAGGCCAACCTCCAAATCCTGAGCTCAGTCTCCTGGGCAGAATGGACTACAGGCAAGAATTAACACATCCCCTTGAGAAGTCACATTTTTAAGTATTAATTTAAAAATAAAACAAAATGAAAATGAAAAACTGATTATTTAATGTCATAGAGTTTCTTGGTCTCTGCCTACTTTCAGAGTTGAGATCTTTTAGTCTGGCTTTTAGAGTTGACAGCCTTATTTCATACTATACTTAGAACTGATAAAACAGCATTTTTTCCACAAGTATTTTTTTGAAACTTAAAATTTTAGTTTTCTATAATTATATGTGTACATTTTCTTTTCTTTTTTTTTTTTTGTCAGTCGTGGGGCCTGAACTCTGGGCCTGGGCACTGTCCCTCAGCTCTTCAGGTCAAGGCTAGCGCCCTACCACTTGAGCCACAGCGCCACTTCCAGCTTTTTCCTGCTTATGTGGTGCTGAGGAATTGAACCAAGGGCCTCATGCATGTGAGGCAATCACTCTACCACTGAGCCAACTTCCAAGCCCCAGGTGCTCATTTTCAGACCAAGGTATATCTTTATTTTTTTAGAAAAAAACCATCTGACATGTAACTTCTAACAAATTTTGAAGGACTGCTACTTTATTCATTAAAATTTTTTTTGTTAAGGTCATTATCCTAACAACTGAAATAATAAAACACTAAGCTCATCCTTGGGTCCCCTTGCTTTCATACTGCTGTCTCAACTCAAATCAACTTGATATATCACCTTCTTCCAGGGCAAAAAATCCTAGAATACTACCAAAATCAGGCTTTACTAGCTGCCCACTTAGAAGCCTTTGTTCTCCTCCCTCACCATTTGCATACAGGATACACATACATACAACAGTTATTTCTTTACTAAATTCTTCAAAAGAGATGAGTAGTTGAAATAAACAGAAGGAAAAAAGAATCTGTATGAGCAATAACCTCTTAACAATGAATGAATCCCCAAATTCTATTAAAATTAAAGGACTGCTGCAGAGACCAAGTAACTAAATAGATCTCAGACATGGTAATAAAGAGACCAAGAGTGGCAGATAGAAAATTCATGTTGAAAAAAAAAAAGAAAATTCATGTTGACAGGACACAGAAAGGGAGTGCAGTGGCTTTCTTTTGTTGTCATTGCCACAAGTTGAATTTTCTCCTTGAAAGTTACAAAAGGAATGCAAATAAGCTAGTACATTAAAATCAACAATCACAAAAACAGGAACATGTTACATACTTATATGGTGATGGCCAAGTATTAGGATCCTGAAGTACCACACCAAGGGCATAAAGAACAAGAGTCTGCCGGAAAAGAAGAAGAAGAACAAATAGAAAACAAAATCAATTCAATTAATTGAGTTTAACTGAGAAAAAGTAATTCTCAGGAAGTCAACTTATCCTAGAGCTCTTTAAATACAGATAATGACAATAAAATAATGCAAAATAATAGTGCATGAGCCATTATTTTGGGGATCTTATGATGTGGAAAGTCCCTGTAAGCATGTCAAAATCTGGAAACCATAAAGAAATAACTGACTACCTAATACAACAATTTGAAATCTGCATTCAGTTAAAAAGAAAAAGCTCAACAACACGCTAAGCTAAAGAGTCATAAATAGAAAAAAACTTCACCATATAGCAGTTAGTTTTAGACCACTATACAAAAAGACAAATAATCACTAGGAAGAAAAGTAGAAGTTTAAAGATACTTCACAGAAGAAATACGAACTTTTTAAGTATAAATATACATGAAAAATATACATATGAAAAGTTGGGTAATCTCTCCAATAATTAGGGAGAAGTAAAATGAGATTGATTTTTTCCAACAAGATTCATAAAATATATGGAAAGTTCATGAAACTAACAGTGTTGACTGGAGAGGTTTTTTGTTTGTTTGTTTGTTTGTTTTGGGGTCCGGTCATGGGGCCTGAACTCTGGGCCTGGGCGCTGTCCCTCAGCTCTTCAGCCCAAGGCTAGCGCTCTGCCACTTGAGCCACAGCTCCACTTCCGGCTTTTTTCTTTTTGCTTATGTGGTGCTGAGGAATTGAACCCAGGGCCTCATGCATTGCAAGGCAAGTGCTCTACCACTGAGCCACCTTCCCAGCCCCAACTGGAGAGGTTTTAAAGTACACTTTTTTGGTGCTAAGGATTGAACCTAAGGCCTTATGTTGAACTCTACCTCAACCTAAACATGTATTCCTGTGTGTGTAGGCAAGGGTTCTATCACTGAGCTACATTTCTAGCCCTGAAAAAACTTTCTTTTCTTTAGTTTTTTTCTTGTTGTATTAAGGATTTAATTTAGGGGCTCACACATGCTAGGCAAGTGCTCAACCACTGGATACGCTTAAGCAATATCTTAAGTACTTTTGTTTCTCTTTCCTTTTTTTTTTTTGGACACAGTTTTGCTACCTTTGCTCTAGACTCAAACTTTTGATTCTCCTGCCTCTCTCTCCTGAGAATCTTGGACTATAGATAGATAGTACCATGTTTGGCTCTGAAAAAAAAATCTTTTTACAAACTGTTGCCAAAAATATCAATTCTCTATTAGAGAATTATTTATTTTATCATCATTCTCATCTTTTAGGATAATGGGTCTTAAACCTAGGGCTGAGTGTCTGGTAGAAAAGGGTTCTACCACAAAGCTACCCTTCAATTTCTTACATGGTAATTAAATGTAATACACATAGACTTTGATCCAAAAACTCCATTTCTAAGATGCTGCTCAATATTTATTATACAAGTACAGAATTTATAATAATAAAAAAATTCTGGGTGCTGGGGCTCATGCCTATAATCCTAGTTATTCAAGAGGCTGAGATAGGAGGACTGTGATTCAAAGCCAACTTGGGTGGAAGAGTGAGAGACTCTATCTCCAATTAGCCAGTTTTAAAGAAAAGCTGGACTGGGGGTGTAGATCAAGTGGTGGGGTACCAACTGTGAACAAAAAAAGTCTATGGGAATGCAAGGCCTTGAGTTCAAGCCTGGGACTTGTTTTTTAGGGTATATAATATTACTGACAGCACATATAGAGAAGGAAGACTTTTAAATTATTTGAACTTTAAAATAAGTCCCTATTATTTTGTAATAGAAGTTGTCTATCATGGCTTTAATAATGGATGTATTTATTAGGTACTTTAAACAAAAATTTTAAATATATACCAAAGGAGCTGAGAATAACTAAATGAGATAATATGCCAAATAAATTTTACCTCTCTAGGTATAATAAATTGGTCGATTTTTCCCTCAGTATTTTGAAGCCGGGCAGAAACTGGGGTCAGCTTGGCAGTCCGAACAGTTTCACAAAGTATTTTCCTACAGTATCTGTTTAAGGAAAATTTTAAACAGGTATTGATATCAACAAACATCATATAGCATATTAGCATAATGAAGGTCAAAAGCTACGCTATCATCTCAAGCAATGCAAAACAAACATTTAATTAAATTCATTACCTCTTTATGATAAAAAAAAAAAAAACACTGAGCAAGTTAGGCACAGATGGAATATACTCCAACATAATAAAGGCCACATAACATAAGCCAACAACTAACATTACACTAAATAGGGAAAAGCTGAAATCTTTCCCTCTAACTCTGGACCAAGACAAGGATGGCCACTTCCACCAATTCACTAATAGTACTATAAGCCCCAGCCAGAGCGTTTGGGCAGGATTAGGAAATAAAGGACATCAAAACTGGAAAACATGGGCTGGGAAGGTGGCTCAGTGGTAGAGTGCTTGCCTTGCATGCATGAGGCCCTGAGTTTGATTCCTCAGTACCACATAAGTAGAAAAAGCTGGAAGTGGCTCTGTGGCTCAAGTGATAGAGCGCTAGCCTTGAGCTGAAGAGCTGAGGGACAGTGCCAGGCCCAGAGTTCAGGCCCCACGACTGACCAAAAAAAAAAAAAAAAAAACTGGAAAAGAGGAAGTAAAACTGTCACCATCTGCAAATATACAAACTGTATGTATACTCATGATCTTATATAGAGAAAATGTGGACGTAACAAAAAAACTATTAGAACAAACAAAATTCAGCAAAGCTGCAACATACAAAAACCACTAGTATTAGTAGATGCTCAATAGCCAATGATTTCAAACAGAAATCAAGAAAGCAATCCCATTAACAATAGCTACAAAAATAAAATACCTAGAATAACTTTAACCAAAGAGAAAGTCGTAAAACATTGAGAAAGCGCTGAAAAGGACACACACACACACACACACACACACACACACACACACACACACACACACTCACTCACTTGCTCTTTCTCTGAAATGCCCATACTATCTAGAAATCTAAAGATTTAAGTGCAATCCCTCTTGAAATACCAATGGAACTTTTCACAAAACTAGAAAAACTTTTAAAATTTAAACAGAAACCAGGAGCTCATGGGTCTTGCCTATAAATCTAGTTATTCAGGAGGCTGAGGTATGAGGATTATAGTTTGAAGCCAGCCCAGGCAGTAAAAGTCCTTGAGATTCTTATCTCCAACTAATCACAAAAAGTTGGAAGTGCAGCTGTGGCTCAAATGTAGCCTTGAACAAAAAGAATTTCAGGCAGATACCTTCAAAATATTACAAGAAGGAATAGGAGAAACACTAGGGATCCTTGGCACAGGTTGAAACATTCTTAATAAAGATCCAGAAACACAACAAATCAAAGAAAGGCTGGATAAATGGGATTGAATTAAACTACAGAGCTTCTGCATGGCAAAGAACATAATTACCAAAATATATGGAAACCTCCCAGACTGGGACAAGATCTTCACCACCCATACAACAGATAAGGGCCTAATACCTAAAATATACCAACAGCTCAAGAAATTAAATTCCCCCAAAACAATTCCCCAAGAAACAACCATCCTATTATAAAATGAGCTAAAAACCTTAAGAGAGACCTCTCTGAAAAGGAAATACAAATGGCCAAAAGACACAACATCATTGGCTATAAAAGAAATGCAAATCAAAACATTGAGATTTCACCTCACCCGTTAGAATGTCCATAATCAAGAAATCTAACAACAGATGCTGGTGGGGATGTGACCAAAGGGGAATACTACTACACTGTTGGTGGGAGTGCAAACTTGTTCAACCACTCTGGAAAGCAGTATGGAGGTTCCTCAGAACACTACACATAGAGCTTCCCTATGACCCAGCAATCCCACTTCTGGGAATCTACCCAAATATCCACAAACAAGGCCTCACTAGACGCACCAGTACAACGATGTTCATCGCAGCATTATTCACCATAGCCAAGATATGGAACCAACCCAAATGTCCATCGGTAGATGAATGGATCAAGAAAATGTGGTACATATACATGATGGAATTCTATGCTTCCATCAGAAAGAATAACATTGTTCCATTCATAAGGAAATGGAAAGACATGGGAAAAATTATATTAAGTGAAATAAACCAGACCCAAAGAAAAGCATGTCGCATGAACTCCCTCATTTGTAAGAACACACAGATGATATTCTTTTTTTTTTCAAATTTTTTATTGTGATTAAGTGGTTACATAATTTCCCAAATTTCACAGTATTGTGGGATAGTGATGCTCAGTTAAAGTCACAAACACATTCTAACTTTCCTGGAGCAAATTGTCTATCACGGTCTATAACATTTATGAGTTCTATGAGTTTTGTGATACAGTTATTTCTTCCACATTAGGTGGTATGTACATTTCTTTTGTTTTGCATAGCATCAGCTGTTCCCTCTTTCCCACTTTTTCCCTCCCTCCCATCACCGCCATTAAGTTGCTTAGTTCATTTTGGTCAATGTCCAGTGCAGCTGATGGGTCCTGCTGTTATATGTTTTTCTCTGATTCCCTCTAGTTCTGTGTCGTCTTCCTGCTTCCCCTCCGGTATATACATATATACCATACATGTGATCAGCAGCATGGGGTTATTTAGTAGTGATTTGACCAGATGTGTGGAAGTCCTTTGTTTCTTAAGTCCTGTTAATTTTGTAGTATCATCTAACATTTTGGATGTAATATACACTTATCAGGGAGACCATGTACCATTTGTCTCTTTGCTCTTAGCTTACCTTGCTCAACATGATTTCTTCTAGCTCCATCCATTTCCCTGCAAATGCCATTATTTTGTCCTTTCTAATGGCTGCATAATATTCCATAGTGTATAGATACCACAATATTTGGATCCATTCATCTGTGGTGGGACATCTGGGTTATTTCCATATCCTGGCTATTGTGAACAGTGCTGCAATAAACATGGAGGTGCATGTGTCCTTGTATACTGGTTCCTGTTGTTCAGGATAGATGCCTAGAAGTGGTATGACTGGGTCATACGGGAGGTCAATCTTTAGCTTTCTGAGGACCTTCCAGACTGCTTTCCAAAGTGGTTGTATAAGTGTACATTCCCACCAGCAGTGTAATAGGGTTCCTCTTTCTCCACATCCCCTCCAGCATTTGTCGTTGGCTGACTTGAGGATGTGGGACATTCTGACTGGGGTAAGGTGGTATCTCAGGGTTGTCTTTATTTGCATTTCCTTTACAACCAGGGATGGTGATCATTTCCTCATGCATTTCTTTGCCATTTTTATGTCTTCATCTGAGAAGTCTCTCTTTAGTTCCCTTGCTCATTTAGTAATTGGTTTGTTAGGTTTGGGAGGGATTAGTTTCTTGAGTTCCCTGTATATACTGGATATTAACCCCTTGTCTGATATATTGCTGGTAAATATTTTTTCCCAATTAGTTGATTGCCTTTCTAGCTTGGTTGTGATAGCGTTAGCTGTGCAGAAGCCTTTTATTTTAAGGTAGTCCCCTTTGTCGAATCTCTCTCCAATCCGTTGTGACCCTGGGACTCTGTTCAGGAAGTTTCTTCCTGTAACTTTAAGTTCAAGTGTCTCTCCTACTTTGTCCTGCAGTAGTTTCAGAGATTCAGGTTTAATGTTAAGGTCTTTAATCCATTTTAGTTGATGTTGGTGCATGGTGATAGGCTGGGGTCCACTTTTAGTCTTCTGCATGTGGCCACCCAGTTTTCCCAGCACCAGTAGTTGAAGAGGCTGTGTTTCTTCCATTGTATGTCTTTGGCTCCTTTGTCAAATATCAACTGACTGTAGGCATGTGGATTTATTTATTTATTGGTCTTCGGGTCTGTTTTTGTGCCAGTACCATGCTGTTTTTGTTATTACGGCTCTATAGTAGAGTTTGAAGTTCGGCATGTATATCCCTCCCATGTTGTCTTTATTCCCTAGAATTGTTTTGGCTGTTCTAGGTCTTTTGTTGTTCCATATGAATTTTGGACTGTTTTCTGTATTTCAGAGGTGTACATCACTGGGATTTTAATAGGATTTGCACTGAATTTGCATATTAATTTTGGCAGTATTGCCATTTTCACTATATTAAGTCTGCCTATCCAAGAGCATGGGAGGTCTTTCCATTTCCTAGTGTCTTCTGTAATTTCTTTAAGTTTTTATAGTTTTCATTAAATAGTTCTTTTACATCTTTGGTTAAGTTAATTCCTAAATATTTTATTTTTGGGAGGTTATCGTGAATGGGGTTGCTTCCTTTATTTACCTCTCTGCTTGTACATTGTCAGTGTACAGGAAGGCGACTGAGTTTTGTGTGTTGATTTTGTATCCTGCTAGTTTGCTGAAGTGATTTATAATTTCTAAGAGTTTGGGGGTGGGGTTTTTGGGATAGTGAAGGTATAGTATCATGTCATTTGCAAGAAGGGATAGTTTAACTTCTTTCCCTATGCGGATCCCTTTAGTGTCTTTTTCTTGCCTTATTGCCCTTGCTAAAGGTTCCAGGACTATATTGAAGAGGAGTAGAGACAGTGGGCATCCTTGCCTTGTTCCTGCTTTTAGGAGAATTGGTTGTAACTTTTCCCCATTAAGTATAATATTGGCTATTGGTCTGTCGTAAATGGCTTTTATTGTTTTAAGAAATGTTCTTTCTAGGGCTGGGAAGGTGGCTCAGTGGTAGAGCGCTTGCCTTGCATGCCTGAGGGCCTGGGTTCGATTCCTCAGCACCACATAAGCAAAAAGGAAAAAGCTGGAAGTGGCGCTGTGGTTCAAATGGTAGAGCACTAGCCTTGAGCTGAAGAGCTGAGGGACAGCGCCCAGGCCCAGAGTTCAGGCTTCACGACAGAACCCCCCAAAAAAAGAAATGTTCCTTTTATTCCTATTTTCTCCAGAGCTTTTAGCATGAATGATTGTTGAATTTTATCAAAGGCCTTTTCCACATCTGTGGAGATAATCATGTGGTTCTTGACCTTGGATCTGTTGATGTGTTGGATTACATTTATTGATTTACGTATGTTAAACCATCCCTGCATTTCTAGCATGAAGCATACC